GGGGTTCCTAAATCTAACGGGTTCCCGAACACCCATCTCCAACCCAAAGATGATGTATCTATGGTCCGACATAGAGTCCTCCCTACAGACACACCACCCAGTTATTTCCGGAAGCAGAGCCCTGGTACAAAGTGTTAAGTCTATGACCGAGCTCCGACCCGTCGTGAAAAACGTGGGTTCTACCACTCTGTTGGCCACCTTCAGCCCTGCCGAGGCCATGAACTCCACGAGGTCTCCCCCCCTTCTATTCGTTGCCGCGCTGCCCCATAAAACGTGGTGAGCATTGCTGTCGCAGCCAATCAAAAGAGGAAGATTTGCCTCCTCACAGTAGGAGATCAAGTCACTGATCTCCTGCGGAGGACAGCTGCGGCCGCCTGGAAAGTACGCAGAGGCGACTACTACCTCCCTCACGCCGTCCCGAGTGGGGATCTGACCAGAATTGGAACCAGGTCCCTGGACGCCTTGTCCCTTAGGAAAAAGGCCTCCAGCCCCATGGTTGGTATACAGGCAATGGGACCGCCTTCTAAGGAGTCGTCACTATGCAGCATCGATCCTCCCAGAGATAAGCCCCTAACCCTTGATTTTACAATCCAGGGATTGGATCAGTACAATGGATGTACCGCCCTCCGAAATTTTCCTGCATAAGTGGGCCGTTGCAGCCCTGCTGTGTTGCAGGTTAATCTGTAATATCCCCGTGAAGATGTTATTACGGGAATACCACCTGCGGGTCACGATGCTAGCCTCAGCCCGAATCCGAGCCCGAGGTAGCACCTCCCTCCGCTTCCGCTTCCTGACTGGTGAACCCTGATGGGATTTCCCGGTCAACTTCCTCGGTTCTAGCTTCCTCGGAGGGCCCTCCGGAGGTCTCCTCCACAGAAGCCGTGGGCGCCGCCTCTCCCACAGGCCCCCCAACCTCCATGGACGAGCCCTCTTCGTGTGAGCCCCCCGCAGCCACCTCATCCTCCTGCGGCCTCGGCGCCGCCAGGTTCACTTTTACCTGAGTCGCCAGGCAGAAGAGAAGTGAGCCCTTAGCCGTGATGGCGCTTGCCGATTTCTCGTCCATGCCCACCACCAACCGTGTGCCCCTTGCATCCTCCGTCCTCTGCCAGACCCTCCAGGCACGGCAATCTAGGCCATTCTGAGCTGCCAGGCAGCGGACTAGTGTCTCGTTCGAGACACCCGCCCCCAGGTCCGGAATCCAGATCGCCGCCCTTCTCAGTCTCAATCGTTCCGGATCGACCTCCACCAGGTTTGCGAGCCCCCAGGGCCTGACGTTGATCAGCTCCCTGCGAACCCACTCCCTGGTTTCTTCATCCATCATCTCGATCAGGATGTGGCTCCTCCACAGCCTAACCGAGCGTATCCGGGGAGGAGTGTATTGCCCCCCCTGCATGATATACATGCTTATGCGGAGGTTAAGAGACCCTATGAACCGCAGTAGGTCCTCGGAAGACAGGTCAGTTTCCTGTCCTCTGAGGCCCACCACACCAGTTCAGGCCCCCCGCCGCCGCTTGTGCATAGGACCGAGTCCCCTCTCAGAGCCCCCCGGGACGGCCCGCCTTTCCCGGGCCCAGCTTTCGCCGACCCCCGGCAGGTGCCCCAACCTGGGTGGTCTCTCCCATTTTTCTTTTCCGCTTCCAGCCTGCAGTTTCCGGTGTGCCCCCTATTGATCCCTCCGTTGACGGCGTGGCAGGATTCCTGGGCGCCGGAAGAGAGCCCGTCTGCGGTTCCGAAACCGTCACCGCGAGTCTCTTCTTCTTCGCCCTCCTTTTTTCCGCCCCACTCCAATGTCTGGGGCGGTGTGTCATCGAGGTGGTGTTCCCGGTTTGTACCGAGCCCTCCACCCCGCTGGCGACCTGGGGATCCTGTTCAGATCGCCCTTGGAGGGGGCCTTCCTGAGGACGCCCTTGCTTGCTGGAGCCCCCCTGGGGCCCCTCCTCCTTCTCCTTTACACATTTCATTTCTGGTTCCATAAAGGTCCCACGAATAGCTAGGAAAACAAACGGTCCACCTCTACAGAGCCCCGCATGAAGAGGTAAGGCTTCCTTCCCCGAGGTGCGCCCGGTACCTCGGGGTTGGGATCGGTAGAGACTGATTTTCTATCCAGCCATGCATCCCCTAGGCCCGACCCCCCACCGTAGGATTCTAAAAGAAATCGACTAGGGGATAAATCAGCAAATTAATGGATTCAGATTTATTGATTTGCAATATTAGATTAATTTACTAATAATGTATATGATGTAAACCAGAAGATGTTGTATATAAAACACTAAGGATCCCAACGCGTCGCGGATTTTGATATTGTTTTGTTATTCCTAAATATGTATTTTTTCAAAAATTTCATTTTCAATTTTTCCGTTCTGTTCTCAGTGAAGTGGCGATTGCTGTTTTTGATTGATTTTTAATATGTTGTACTTGATTATTCTTATATCTCCAAGCCATTGCACGAATATGGCTTCAAAAAAATAAAAAAAAGGAAAAGTGCTTCATTAGATATGAATTACGCACCGCCACTGGCCTTCAAGTCTGCAAGCGATAGAGTGGCTTCGAGTTTGCGGGCTTCTGCAATCGGTTCCTTGAATTCACTCTATCATTTTTGCATAGAGAGAGAACGTGATATATAAATTAGAACCTCAATGCTAACTGACGCATTTAAAACCCAATTTTAGGCGTACATTTAGTAATCGAAATTCTTGGGTACTTCTTACAGCAATAGGAAAATATCCATAAAATTTAAATTTTAAGGTGCAGTAAATTATATCACTCAATGTCATTAATTAAAATAGCGTTTTGGTAACTCTAGCGACGTCTAGATGTCGCTGAACGATAAACTTTATTAAATGCACATTGTGAACGATCGATTGATTTTCCCTTTATAAACTCAATTTATTGTACTAATTTATTTTTGCACAATTCTGTTCAAAAATTTAACGAACAGCGATAAAGATATTAGGATTAAATCTATATATCTGATGGCTAGCAGGGCAGAACAAAAATTTATAGCACTATTTGATCCTTTAAAATAAAATGCTACCACGAAAATCGGGTCAGTTGTGTTGAAATAAATTTTTGTTTTGTCGTCAATTAGTAATTTGAATTTAGGATTTCAGGTTATATAGGTTTTACGTCTATACGTAACCAAAAGGAGCATACAGTTCTTGCGCCATCTACACCACTACGTTGTGAAAACGAATCTTGGCGCGCGATAATGAAACTTGAACAAGTTTCAGCGGTAGTGGTCAGTGGTCGTAGGGTGTTACACTCAAAGCTTCAATGTAATTTGAAATTCACGTTTAAGGATATTCGAATCACATGTTGAATAATTATTTTACGCTGTAGGAACAAGTTTGTGCAAGTGACATTTTCCAAGTTTCTCAGAATGGTAAGTGAAGTGTATTTTGTATAATTTACAATATTCGTTTTGTTGAGACAAGATGATTTTTAATTTGTAATTGTAAAAAGCAATTCTTTCCTTTACCTAGCCAATGCTTTAGCAGATGTATTCATAATAATGAACATTTTGCACCCAACTAGCTAAAAATTGGAGAATTAGATTTTACCACAAAACCCACCATTCAATTGGGTGGGTTGCACACGGTGCCGTGTAGAACATGAGACATACAAAATAATATCAACTGTAAGATTATAAATGACACCAAAAGAGGAAGGTTGCATTTACTCTAGAAACCTATTATTAGAGTTTGCAGGCTTTTTTGATGACTTGACATCAATGGACACTCTGTGGTTTGTTGCGTAAGTCCCAGGTAAAAGATCACGGCAGAATCACCAAATGCCTTGAGCCCTATTGATTCCTCTAGCTTGTTTCGAAAAGCCAGACTAATTAATTTATGATTTGATTGAGTTGACTGTTACTTGATGATAATCCATTACATACATAATTTAATAAAAACAAACACTTGCTTTAAGATTAAACTTCCTTGATTTAAAACCAACAAAAAGAAAAAAACATATAAATTTCTCCATTTATCATAAACCCTCACATACAGACACAGTAATTCACAATTCTTCTAACCATGCATACCAATATAACATTTCCTCTTTTAATAGCTACTTATATAGATTACTTCAGGTCCCTCTCAATCAAGAAGATTACGACAAGGATTTAAATATAATTTAATAAATTGCATTGAACAACGGTTACGAACCCAATTTAATTGACTCACTAGTAAAAAAGAAACTATATAACAACGTCATGAATCTAGTCTTTCCTAAACAATACTCTAATAAAACACACAAACATTTTAACACATTAACTTATTTTGGACAACCAAGTGAAATAATAGCTAAAAAACTTAGAAGGCTAAATCGGAATATTGCTTTTAATTGTAATAGGACATTAGGATCTGTAATTAAAAATAATAAAACGAAAATACATAAGTTATGTAAATCAGGAGTATACAAATTACCATGTGGATCTTGTCCAAAAATATACATAGGTCACACAGGCAGAAGTTTCAAGAAACGGATTCAAGAACACAAAAGTTCATTCTTGAATTCTAAAAATGACTATAATTATAGTAATCATTTAATAGAAACAGGACATTCCTTCAATAACGATGTTAAAATATTACAAAGTCAAGGCAAAAGCAAAAAACTTAACTTATTAGAAACAATAGAAATTAATAAACTGAAATATACAAGTTTGCTACTAAACGATCAAACCGACTTAAATAGTTCTCCCCTCTTAAACCCTTAGATACAGATTCTACCTGCAGTATGGATAGTCTGTAATCAACCCTGTGATAGTTTAGAGATTCTTTCTGAAGAAGGTACAGTGTACCGAAACAATTGTCAAAGCAATAAACTGTGTGGTAATCTTAAAGCAAGTGTTTGTTTTTATTAAATTACTTATAATTAATTTATGAATAGTCTACATGTAACTGTGCTTCTATGTGTATCTAGGTGTTTAAACTGGGTACTGGGTGCTGGGTACTTTCAGCAGTAATAAATGAGCCATAAAATTTAATAATGTAATACTTTATTATAAGAATAACATATGGACAAATAAGTGGCATGAAACTTACAGCAACCCTTAATATATAATACACAAAAATTTAGTCAGATAGTATTTGTGGCTTAAGGTGTAATCTATCTATAACTGTTTGTGGCATACAATATGTAGGGTTTACTTTACCTATACTTTCGTGACCCAGAAGTGAAAGGGCTGCTAAGCCAAAGCATGTGTGAAAAGGATCTGCCACATCCCCTGGCCTATCAGCAAATCCACCTAAAAAGAAAACACTGTTACTTGCATTCAAAGCATTTTATGAGAGTCAGACAAAGTAACAGTAAAAATTGTACATACCTGTATCTGTATCCTGACAAGCAAAAATAAAGCTTTTTAGAGCTTCCTTATCAACCCATTCTAGGCGACCTAGAATGGACAAAGAAGAGAGCACCCACCAGGAATAACATACATCTGGCAATTTCTCTGGTCTTCCATTTAATCCTCCTGATGGCAACTGTCTTTCACAAAGCCACCAAGCCAAGGTATCTCGATCTACTAAATCTAACCTGAAAAAACACGATTAAGTTTAAAAAATACAGGAAAATATGAAGTAACCTATTCGTGATTGACAAGAATCCAATACAGCAATATATCAACCCTGCATGGCTCTCTGATAAAGGTCGGGATCCAAAGCCTCCATCAAAATTTTTACAACTAGCCACAAATTCCACTGCTGTTTCCACGTCAACTGCATCAAGTCGGTTCACTAATGATAGAGTCATGATTGCACAACATGAAAACCTTGTATCAATTTCACCCCACTTGTCTCCAGAAAAGCTTCCATCTGGTTGCTGGAGGCTCGAAATATACTTGACTACACCTTCAACGTCGATAGCGTCTAACCTGTCGTATGTGCACAATATTTGGACAGCGCTCAAAGTGTGGAGAATGTGAGGATCATGATTTATACATGCGCTTATCCCCCCCGAGTCTGGATCCTGACAAGCCTTAACATATTTGACTATTTCGTCTTTACCTTGCACCGGGGAAGCGTTCATTAACTCCAAAGCGGTAAGGCCCCAATACATGCCCGATACGCGCAAATAGTCTGTCATACCATATTCAAAGTCGTCCTCATCCTGCCCGTATGCGTTGATGAAATCTATATGCCTTTCAAATAGAACTTTTTTGATAATATCGTCGCTCAACTTTACGTCCTTGATTAACGTTGCCATTATCAGCTTATTTTTTGATTTTTGTCCGAGGAAAACATTAACCTCAATTATATATATACATCACAGATCCACAAACTGTAGTAGGTACAGAACACCAGTCACAGAATGCGTATATTGTCTTACGCCAACGTTTATTTTAGTACCTAATGATTCCGGAAATTAATGTACCCTCAAAAATAACTCAAAAGAACAGCTTACCGGAAGTGGAATTAGAGATAAAAGGCGATTTCTGGCTCAGTTAAATATGTTTAAGGGTGTGATTTCGAAGACGGCGACAGCGACACCTGTTGTTACTGTGTTGCGACTCCATCGATCTTTTAGAATCAAACGGAGTAATGTCGGAGTCCGACGACAGGTGCCGCGCGACAGTTTTTATCCAACATGTCTAAGCAACCGACGAGGCTACCGGTATTTGTTCAGTAATGTCGTGTCGTCATAGATATGGACCCGCAGATTTTTGACAAAAAATTGATTTTTTCTACTCCCATCTGTAAAATACTTAATTATGCACCGATCTAGCGTGCGGGAAGCGTCTCTTTACCACGTCAGTTTCGTTTCCCACGGATTGGCCACTTCGGACATTTCCGGGATTTTGCCACACGGCTTTGGGAGCAATCGTCAGTTATTCTACTTTTATATTGTTCGCCTCTTTTTCGGCTCTACAACCTCGAGGTCCTTTTATAAGTTTCAGATTTCTTTTTCCACTTCAAATTTGGTCGTTTTCTTAGAGCTAGCAATAATTTTTACTCAGTCATCTGGCAAACTAAATGCCTCATCTTCAGGGTGCTCTCCGCCGTAGAAATATTAGGAGTTTCTTTTTCGCTTTCCGCTGTATGTTTTCCACGCCGAAATAAATACGTTTCCTTAACAAAAAAAACAGGGAACAAGGGTTTATGCTGCTACATCAGCGCAAGTTTGTATAAAATGTTCAGATTCAATTCAATTCAATTATGCGTTTCAGAAAAATGTTGGGCTCGACTGCTAGGATCATTCGCCTTGCCGACTTCCGTCGAGGATCTTCGCTTTTGGTCATGGACCAACACGTACAAAGAAGACATATAACCAATATTTGCTCAACTAGCAAAAAACAATTTTGACCGATACCAAAAAAACCGACACCCCCCCGCTACATACCGGACCAACAAGGCCCATCCGGCCTCCATACCGGCGTGAACGGGGAAAAGCGAAGGGATCGGCGACTATTATCACTTTAAAACGTTCACTTAACACTGAAAACACTAAATCCAACTAGTGTAGACTGATTTCAAACGGAGTTTAAACCGCCGCGTGCAATGCTCCACCGCAGAACCAAATGTTAAGCTGTGCCGCTCTGCTTCTGAGCGACACAATTGTAGTTTGAAATTCCTACGCCAAATGGCGCTAGTATTTCCTCGCACGCAAGTATATTTTTAACCGATTCACAATTAAGTTTTTTAGTTTGCAACAATGGTGTCGTTTTGAACACTTAACAAAAATATTAAAATTATTTTAGAATATATATTATATGATTAAAACTGCTTTAAACTGGCTTTGACTTTTGAGAATATTTAACGAAATATAAATATTTTACATTAACTACTAATAACATTATCTGCCACTTTTTATTTCTCAAAAATATCAAAGGCTGAAGGGTAACAATTGGTTGCGAATTTTCCACGTCACGCTTACAAAAACAAATTTTAAAGTCCGTAAAGTGCCATGAAACTTTGACAGTTTTTATACTTTTTTCTTTTATTAATAGGCGACCCTATAGGGCGTAAAAATACACCAAACGCAATTTGTTCTAAAACGATCATTCGCAATGAGTTTTATTCCTTAATTGGCTTGTTACAATAACTACACTCTCGAAGTTTCATAATTAGTAATAGTTTTAAAACCAACACATACATCAACGGCATATACAATCGCATTTTTTATCTTTTCGCGGCATATTTATTTTGCTACCAGGAAGCATTAATCAATTGCCACACAACTGCCAGTTTATTATTATTTGTAGGTAATTATTGTGATAACGATAGATACCGCGTGTGAAAACCTGAGATTTGTTGGAAGTGCTTTCATTAATATCGTTGATTTTAATTGTGGAGTGGACGGGTATATCACACGATCGATAGACAGTTCGATAAAAAAATTAACTGTCGATAAAAAAAGTAACTGTTTTTTTGTTGTCGTTGCCATTTCCCCCTGCGTTATATTATACAGGGTGTTATTTAGGAAATGTAAAATGTAAAAGGTTATTATAAATGTGTCTAAATGCTTCGTTTCGAGATACATGTGTGTCAAAGTTTTATTTTTGTTTTTCCCGCATAATTTCTTGCACGTCAGAATTGTTTCACCTTTTGCGTGATTAATTCAACTAAAATATTTCGAAAACTGTGGCAGCAGCCTTCGAACTTCATTGTATAATAACAAGATTTGTTTCAAATGATATAAAATAATTTCTTGATTTGTTTTTTGGGTTGTTAAGTGGACCGATACGATCAAAACGATTTCATTCGTTCTTTGTTTAAAATAAAATAAAATGTTTCTCCACGACAGGATGTAATTTACAAGATAGCACAAGATATTACTTTCGTGGCGTTATTTTTGGACACTTATCGGCAGAATTGATTATCCATCAGCGACTCCTTGGAACCATATACTACGGTTTTCACAAAATCTTAGTTTAAAAACGGGCTAACGCACTGCAACTAAAAATGGCTTGAGGTGCTTATTAACTTTAAATGTCTCTAGTCTTAGTCTATTATAATTCTGGGGCGACTATATTTATACATATGGCGAGAAAAGTACTACGTTATGTTGGCGATTTGCCGGACCAGCTTGTAGAGATCGCAGAGAGAGATCGAGAACACAACACAAAACGAGCCTTGCAATAAAAATGTTTATATATTAATATAAAAAATCCATGTAGTAAATAGTAAGCGCATAATGATTTACAAATTCAGACCATCCGGGTAAAGCAAACGGTTTTTTAATATCGATAGTTGTCGGGTTTAAAGGGTCCCTCCATCGGCACTCCTATATAGTTCGCTTGTTTTGGGGTAATTTTTTCGAGCCTCACCCCCAGGTATTCCAGGTGAAGTCTGGCCACTTCCTCGTCCAAAAATTTGGGCAATGTGTGCACGTCCACCGAATACGCGTTAGTATTGTTCCAGAGCTCCATCTGGGCGAGACATTGGTTCGCAAACGAAATCGACATCACAAAAGATGGATGTCCATTCGCGCAGCCCAAGTTCACCGCCCTACCTCCCGCTAATAACACTATATGCTTTCCGTTTTCTAATTCATAACGATCAACGCCTGGTTTGATCGGATCCTTCGACTTGGCATTATCTTCCAACCAAAATACGTCCACTTCAGAAAAATGTCCCACGTTACAGACGATGACGTTGTCGTTCATGTCAACGAAGTGCTCTCCCCGTATAATGTCCCTGCTGCCGGTGCTAGTTATGAAAATTTGTCCCAGTTTGCTCGCTTCCGCCATCGTTAACACTTGGTACCCTTCCATCGCCGCCTGAAGGGCATTGATCGGATCGATTTCTGTGACGATGACTCTGGCGCCCAAACCTTTCAGCGCGTGCGCGCAGCCTTTGCCGACGTCGCCGTAGCCTCCCACGACGATTATTTTGCCAGCTAACATGATGTCGGTGGCCCGTTTGATTCCGTCTATCAACGATTCCCTGCATCCGTAGGGATTGTCGAATTTACGCTGGAAAGAACGTATGATCAGAACACGCCACCACAGCGACCGAGATGAAGTCTTATACAATCTTTTTAAGCATATAAATATTACCTAGTGGTGTTTATTGGGGGCCTCTGATTATGAAGTAGAATCGCAACACCTCAAAGAACACCTAGTAGGCACTATCTACTAGATTTATTTACTAGAATATCATTCCGGAGAGTTCACTTTTTTCGCAGTTTTTTGGTGAAATAATCCATTACTTTATAATCAGATTATCATCTTAAATCAGTCGGAAAACTGATGAGAATATTAATTAATACATGTAATAATATTTTTTTCGTTGTTATTTCCCACATATTGACAACACACCTTATTTACCTTTTAAAGTTTCTACCCTTAAATGTTCCTATAGGATCTAGTTCAATGAAATCGTAATTACCTTTGTCACAGAATCGTTAACGTTGATCGCGGGTATCTTCAGGCGTCCCTCTCTGATCATTCTGTTTAGATTGTGAACTCCGGTGGTCGTTTCTTCGCTAAGCCCGGCGCATCCTTTCAAGTACTGGGGGAACTTTTGGTGCACGAGATTGGTGAGCTCGCCGCCATCGTCCAGTATAAGGTTGAACGGTTTACCGTCGGGGAAAATCAGTGTCTGTTCTATACACCAGTCGTACTCCTCTTCAGTTTCCCCTTTCCACGCGTAGACTCCGATACTTCGTGCCGCCAGAGCCGCTGCCGCAGCGTCATTGGTACTGAACCGGTTGCAACTTGACCACTGAACCTATAATGGGGAGATGTCTGTTCTGAGCTCGAAAAGTTTAGTAGTTCCATTAGTCATAGTGACGGGATATCAATTTAAGCAGTTCTAGAAACTATTTTTCTCAACCTCTTAGGGCTATTAATTGTTATGGTCCGTTGGTAAAATGGGAAATGCTCACCTCTGCGCCAAGATCAATAAGCGTTTCGATCATCACGGCAGTTTGGACGGTCATGTGAAGGCAACCAACTATCTTGGCTCCCTGGAGAGGTTGGGTTGTCTTGTATTTCTCTCTCAAGGCCATCAAGCCGGGCATTTCGTATTCAGCCAGGATGATTTCTTTTCGGCCCGCATCCGCCAGATTTAAGTTAGCTGATGCGAAAAGAAACATCAATATTCACCAATTGTCGGTTAAGAGGATTGTAAGCAGAAGCAGCTATTTCAGAAAAAATCTAACGTAGTCTACATATTTCCTGACATTAGAAAACTAGGTGGTCTAAATGTCTATATTTAACATCTTCAGATATTGTTTCCCATTTCCAAGCCAAGTCGAAAAAATTAGAAAAAATCAAAAACGCACTCACCAACTTTAAATGGCACCTTCATCTTTCAGTTTTCGTTTCTATTGGAACTGCGATTTTAAACTTGTTTAGACGGATTGTTTGGGCTGTGATAAAACCGTTGCATTTATACTAGATCGATTGCTACGTCACTTGTTTAAAGTAGTTTCCAGATATTATCAAGACAATGATTTTCGCAACAATTCAATTGATTACAACATTAAAAAGTAGCGGCAGGGGGCGATAATGTTCGATTAATGGGTTGATTTTTCGCAATTTTTTGAATTTATCTTGGGGTTTGACCTCTGGACGTTCGCAAGTGTTCATTGATGATTTTATTGATTTGAAGTATGTCGAAAAATTAAACAAAGGGCAGATGAAGTGGTATATGATTTTACTAAATTGCCTCATTTTAAAACTAAAACTAAACAATAACAGATACTGTCCAAACTGCATGAATGATTACCTTGTAAAGAAATGGCTCAACACCAGCGGCGTGCGGAAACGACATTTTTACATTTTTTCCAGAAAACATAAACATTTTTCTTTAGTCTTCCCCTAGACTGTCTTTGTTTTGGTTAGGAAAATAGAAAATTTAGATTATTGCCTCCGAGCACAGAATACATTAATCATAATAGATTGGCATACTGGTGTAAAGGGATAACTTTGTGCTCAACAAATGATGTATTGGCTACTATTGCGCCTCCCTTGCGGAGGTTAAAAAAGACAGATGTTTCAATAATGATATGCCACTACTTTTATAATATTTTTTTAAAGAATAAAGAAATAATTAAATAAAATAAATTGACATTTTTAATATTTCAAAAAAAAATAGGCAGCAACAAACATTCAAATAAAAAATATAATAGCAATCGAACCGTTCTTATCGCGTCACGTAATTGGGTGGGTGAAAAGATCAACATCAAATTGGTTCGTTATTTTGCTTAATTCTGCGGAAATGAAAGTCGTAAACATATACAGGCAAATTCCATTCAGAATTGTTTTTCTTACAATTGCTTGTCAACCTAGATTTGTCACCCCTTTCGTACACGTGTATATCTTTATGGAATGATTTGGGTCATGAAAACAATAATTTTTCGGCAAATATTTTTAGATTACGTTGGGAATCAGATAATAATTTTGTTCCGAACAATTTTCTTATATGGACGAAACAAACTATCGAATTTTTCAGTATAGGTGGGTAAAATTATGAATACCTTACATTCAGATTTGTTACCAAAAAGTAAGTCGTAGTGGAAAAATTCGCTTTTTAAAATTAATAATAATGGCCGATGGATAATAATCGTGCGTCAGTTTTAAGTAAACACTTCACACATTTAGAGGTTATTGGCAATAGGAAATTAATCATTAGCGCGTTTAGCTATATGAATCTAAGGTAATGTCGTAATACAATAATCAAGTGAAAAGGGAATCCCGTTTTTAACCAACACACGGCGCAGTATTGAGTTGAGTATAAAGTTCTTAATTCCGTTTGCAAAATGAACCTTCGTTTTCATTTTAGTATATTTTCACTCGAAGAGGCTCTTAGAAATGCATTGCAACATGTCTACCGATCGTAAAACGTATACATTAACAAAGGCATTATATCAACACGTTTTAAATTGTCCACGATAGTTGTTATCAAGGGAATTTGATATTGAATTTAAAATTACGCTGCCCTATTTATCGCATGCGACACGTCTTAAATTTAGAAATTAGGAAATGTTTATTGTTATTGTCCTTGTTTTCACATCATATAGTCTATGCAATATCAGATTAGTCTAAACGAACGTAACCAAAATAGTTATCAGAAAATCGTCTAGACAACACTCGCCATGATTTTAACGTCATTGGCGTAAAAGTAAAGGAGTCAATGGAGCAGTGGTTCGTATTTTTATACTCTGTTTTCTAATGTGAATAATTGAACTAAAAAACTGAGTGGTCTTTGCCATATTCCATAGACGTAGCAGTAGTACATAGATTGTTATGGGTCCCTGAGTGGCAGGTAGACAGACAGGTAGTAGACTTACTTATGCCTTAATATTTAAAATTAGAATGGTAGCTTTTAATAAAGGAAGACGAAAAGAAAAAACATGAATATATATGAACTGAACTAAAACAAAGGTAAAAGATTACTGACATTGGTAGCAAAAATGGATTTGTAGATGGTGGCTTAAAATTTCAATCAAAACGAACAGAAGATTATCATGAAGACATGAATGCAGATGTTTTTGCAGACTACTTTCCGCAAATGCTGGAACTTATTGTGTTATTTCTCTGAATACTCAAACCAACATTAGCAAATCAAGTACCGTACATAATAGATTTTTAAAAAACCTATTTTCTTATTATTATTACTTCTGTATAAGCTTTTATGTTGTTGATCTTAGAATAATGCGTATCTCAATTTTATGCCCACCTCAATAATTATTGTCATGTATAATTATTATATATTAATTATTCCTATAAATTACGCCGCTGTCGCATTACTTTCTTTCGCGAAACTCGTCTTTTTATTATATGCAAATTAGTGTTACCCTAATTTAGAATAATCCCTGTCATTGCAAATTTACCTTTAACTCTCGCATTGCCACTATCGAGGCATGTTGGAAAAAGTAGCACCGTACTAGATAGCGGATCTTTCAATTCAGCAGAAAATTCAAAACCGTTTGCAAAATAATCATGTCTAACAAAATCGGTTGCCCACGGTTCATTGATGATGATGATGATGTTGATCTTGTGAACAGTATAGAGCGACCAAGGTGTACTAGACACTAACCTATTTTTCTTGCTGCTATACAGAAGTCTCCAAAACATGCGATTTTGAACGTTATGAGTCATTTGACCCCAACTGGTGTTCAAGGACGAGGCTACTATGCATCCTGGTTAAACGCGAAAGATAAGTGTTGGCAATTGTTGATTTGTAATTGAACCGCTGAACTTTTTATTGCTATTTAATATATACAAATATTCGATATGGATGGAAAATTTGCGGTTATTTCTTTAAAGTATCGCAAATAAATATAACAATTTTTGGCTGCGGGGCGTTCTTATTTTTTCCTTATTTTGTATAGAACTCGACCATGTTGGTTTTTACCACTTTTACCTGCTCCAGATCCTAATTTAATTTACTAATTTATAAATCAATCAAATGATCTTGTGTCACCCAATGTGTGACACAAGATCAACTCTCCAAATTTGTAGTTTGTTTCTTTTACAAGGCTATAGTGATAGTAAATGATATCTAAATATTTAATTTAACTTAAAATTAGATGTAGGTATGTAGATATACCATTGGGAAATTCGATTTGTTGTGGGAAAAGTATATATAATTACTATTAAAAATTTAAGATTACCTATACTAATGCCGATAGGGTGTTTTTTTTTTAATTGGACACTCTATATCCAGAATATCAGGTTAGATATTTGTGGTGAACTAGACGTAGGACTGTTCTGAAAATTTGGTAGTGTATTTACTTTAGCCATGCGACGTTGAAGCTTCTTCGAAAAATTAACATCAACTTTCATGTTTTTAAGTGAAAATCCTATATATTTTTCTATAGCGCCTCCCTATCTCCATTTTCGAAAAATTAATTATATTTCCTATTTTTTGTTCATAGCTCCAATTAAATATTTTACAGCCATATTTGAATATTTAGCAAGCGGTGCTCAAAATCTGCGATATTACAGGTGGAAACAAAAATAATCAAAAATTCATTTTTTTAAATTACAACTTATATTTTATCAAGCATTCTAAAAGACAATTAAAAAACCCTTCAAATGGAAAATTTGGAAAATTTTCTGTTAATAGATTATTATTAATACCTAATATTCTGAAACTGTCCAAAAAGCTCCTAATGGAGTAAAATGTATATTCGAATGAAGTCTTGATGAATTATTTTATTTTATTTATTTTTTTATTTATATTCATATGATTTATGTTTCCTAATTTACAACCAATGAAGAAATACGACAAAACCGCAACAGAAACAAATTTACAATTTTGAAAATGCTGACGTGGCGGTTTGGATGTATTTTATAATGTTTCCATGTTACGTTTGAACCTTTGACCATCTCATTCTACCTGCATAATTTTTTTGGTATGTGGTTTGTGGGAAATGACACAAGCATAGCATGTTAACGTGACATTCATTTTATCGTATTTCCAATGGTATAATCCGAATTTTTGTAGAAAGCGAAGCATTATTTAATGCAATACATTTAATTTTAATTGGAATCGCTAATCGATAAGTAAAAGGATATTTTTACAGCATTTTAAAGCATTCCCTATGAGATCAAGGACCGATGAAATATTGTTGCATCCATAAATCGCGTTGCTTGTAGTTGTTAAGCTGCTTTGTCGGTAAATTGTAAATATATTATTGCAGTTCTTCTAACTTTATGATAACTGTAATAATGTATTTGTGTATATATGTTTATATTAGGTAAGTTTAAAAAATAAAATTTTTATATCGGAATATTATTTTTAACATAATTGTTATTTTTCTATAGGGACATCCATTAACAGGGTTATTTGTTTTGTGTTTGAATTTGAAGTCGGTAAGTTTTCCTCCAAACGAACTGTTTTTTAAATCTTTATCGACACAAATCATACAACTGGTGTAAATGAATGAATATGACTTCCGAAGTAGTTTAACATTTTTTTCGTCAGATGTCTCATTGAATTGTAAAATCGACAATGAGCCAGTACCCCAATTCATTTGAAACCAAGTAAGATATTCTTGTAACAATCTACTCATCTCATCTCATTTCATTTCAAGTTTGAAAGATTTTTCTCAAAAGTTAAGACCTTCGTCGTAAATGAGAAATCTTTGAAAGCTCAAGCTTGGTATTTTTTCAACCCAGAAATTTTCGTTTGGACTGTTGAAAATATTCCTAGAAAATTGAGTTTTGTCTATACACAAAATTTTCTTTTTGAGTTAGGATTAAGAGAGTTACATTCTAGTCAACATGTCTCTCCGCCATGGTTTTGTTGGAAATTGTCACAATATAGGTATTAACTGTCAATATTTCAGTTTCATTGATAATTTCATGATTACCCAAAGCAAATTGCAGAAACTTGCTTTTTTCTCGGAATTCTTAATATTCAGGTATGGAAGCATGATGTGTCATTTGAAGTTGTTTTTAATTGGGTTGATAAAATATAGGATATCATATTAAACAATGAAAACTTCATTGTTTGTTTTCACCGGCATAATCGGACATATTTAATCCGCCTGGATATTATAGAGTTGAGTTGTCTACATAAAACTATTGCATAAGAGCTTCATACACTATAGGCAAAATTTCAGTTCTGAACGAATTCAACTTTGACTGCAATATAGAATTAAGTTTTAAGCAAAAAATAGGGAAAATCCTTAATTTCTTGAGAATTGCTAAAGATATAAGTACTTATTATACAAAAAATCGGAAATTACAATAATATACTGGATATTAAAAATGACTTTTGCAGAACCAGGAATATTTACAAAGAAATGTTTTTGTGCACATTATAAAATAACTTTGTACGAAAATGTTTTTTTTTTTAATTTTGTTATTAATTTTCTCTAATTATTACTGTTGGGTGACGAAAAAAGAATAATTTTTGAAAAATTGCGGTAAAGCTGTATTCCAAATAATTTACCGTTTTTAAAAGATTGTTATTTGTGCCTGCAACTAAATGTGATATAAAACACGTACAGAAAATTGTTGTCAATAATCACTCGTAACTCGACGTAGGAAGATTAACTAAAATAAATTATATTGTCAGTACAGTCGATTTAAAAAAAAAATACTGGCTAAAAATTTTTTTGTGCATGTGGCATAAATTTACATTTTACTGTTGTTTATATAATTGGAAATAATTTCGCAAAACGTTTATAAAACTCGCTGACAGAGGGCGCCAGCTTAATTTAATTCTAAGGTTTTGGAGTATCGCTATATTTTATATGAAATTTCGGCATAATCGTTAAATGAATATTAATGTTTTCAAAACTAGAAAATGTTAGATTTACGCCAGATAAATATTTACCGTAGTTTGTAGTAACTTTAGTTCTACAGTTGTTAAACCGCTGAGTTACGTAACTAAAAGTTCATAGGGTTGCCTTTTGCGGTTGTTCACGTTAATTTTAACCACCTACACGCTTTTAAGTAACGAAGATTTTAATAACGCCTTGAAATGCACATTTTCATTAATTCATATCGAACGGAACACGCGTCGGGGAAAGGAAACACATGTCCATTTTACATAATGTATTTCAAAACATAATGACTTTGTGTAGGTACAATGCTTTACTAAAAATTCTATTGACCTGTTAGTATTAAATTATCCCACGTGTTTAAAGAACTTATATACTTTAAGATATACACAACATCGACTCCTACACTACTATAGCTACACAATCTTTGGTGAAAACGCATTACAGTTATTCATATAAATTGCACTTGCGGTCGTATTAGCAATAATTAAACACGTTTCGTCCCGAAAGGACTTCAATTTTAGAACGAGTTAAATTTAATTCCGCCGTTATTTTACACGAATCGTCTTTGGCTTAGATGTGAATAGTACATTAAATATCACATTCGAACACTATGTATAAAATTTTACAAAACCTATTTACATGTATAGATGGGACGAAACATGGACGCCCTAAATATAGAAATAATTTTCGTAGTCTGCGTAGGATAACTGTCCGTTTTTACTTAGAGACACCTGCTTTGTGCTGGTGTAAACTTCAGGGTCGGGCTTGATAGTTTTTCTCTCTGTCTCTTCGCAGGCATTCGATTTCGACGCTTTTGACGTTTCTTCGTCATTCGATAATGGGAAGAACGCTCCACACGACTTTGATGATTGATTTCTGAGGTTCATTTTAGACGAGGTCTTGAAGAGGGCCGAAGCTGGAAGGGGAGGCATTTCCGAAACCCAGAAAACCTGCAAAAATTGCGTTCTCAGATAATGTTTGCAAACCGACGTATGACGATTTACTTTTCTCCTCGACAGCGGAAAATAGTTGGGATTTCTTCGCAACAAAAAGTGACAGTTGTGGGTGGGTAACCACGAGTGTTGGACTTGAAGCGGTAGATCGTCGGGATGCAACTTGCGTTGCTGTTCTTTCGCGGGATTAACCTGGAAAGAAGTAAAAAAATAACTCCCGCGATAGTGGGTTGTAATTTTGAACGGTACCTCGTACAAAGAGAACTGTTCGACGGGTTCTTTGTTGTTGTAGCAGTTAAGCAGGAGGGCGATGAGTTCGTCCACGCTGGTACGCGCGCTCAGCAACAGAGATTTGTACTGGGAATTGCTGTTTAATACTGAATCGTGGACTTTGACCAGTCCTCCTCGGCGGGTTTGAAGAGAAAACCTGAAAATAGCAAACATTTGAGAACCAGACAAGCTTTAATATTTTTCATAGTGGAAGGAAGATGGACAGAACGCCAACCTGAAGAAATTTAGATCAATCGTAGAATTTTAGATCCTATTGGAACCGGGTGATGCATTGCCGAACGGTAAATAGGATATCCCATGTAAATTTTTAGGTGGCCAAATATTGGCTCCCTTGTGCATTTTATAGCAAAGTTGTAATATATCTTTTTGAAGGGGCCGGTATGATTAACTCATGTGCCGAATTTGAATACGTTTTAATAATCCAATCTTCAATTATTGAATTAAATATGATGGCAAATTTAGAAAAATTTTGTAAATCACCAGTAAATACAATTTGACATTAACAACACGAAAATGCAATGCAATGCAATACAGTAACAATATTAAAAAGTTATTAAACGGGCTTTAATTAAAGTAACCTTAGTAAAGTGGTATTATGCAGGAAACCGTCTTAGAGCAGTGTCTAAAATGTTTTCAGTTTATTTTACTGCTAAAACTATACCTTCGATTTGAACAATTAAACGTATTATTACCAAATTCGACCCCAAAGGCACCGTATTAAATAACTGCAAATATTCAGCTGAAAATGTTAATAATAAAGCAGATGAAAGGAATAATAGAGATTTGAACATTTTACTGCATGTGGAGGAAAACAAAATAATTACTACGAGGATTCTTGGATATGCTCTAAATAAACATCAAACCACAGTGTTGTGCACATTAAAAAAAAAACACAAATATTTTTCCTATAAATACGAAAAGCACCAAGAGCGCCGAGAAGGTGACGAAGAAAGAAGAGTAGCATTTTGTTTTGAAATGATGGAAAAAGCAAATAATGAGAGATATCTAAAAAAATATTTAATTCATTGATGAATATACATTTACAGTCAGTAACGAACCAAATGTTCAAAACTGTCGGTATTGGAAACAATACAATGAATATCGTTTTGTTTATATTCGAAGTCAATATCCTCAAGAAATGGATGTGGTAGAGTGAATTTGTAGACATTATATTATTGGGCCATTTTTTATGAACCTCACGACAGAAATCTATTTGAACTTATTACAAAATCAAATTGAAGAAGCACTAGAAGAAGTTGTTCGCGATAATCAGGAGATCTGGTACCAGATGGATAGCTGTCCCACCCATAACTCCCATATGGTTAGGGAGTATTTGGGAAGTACTTTTAACGGGAATATTATTAGCCCAAGGTGGCAACTCCTTCGGCTACCCAGGTCACCTGACCTCTCGCCGAACGACTTCTTTCTTGAAAATAGTTATTTATAAAAATGTTAAATTTGAAAATCTTAACCAGTTACAAACCGTTATTTCCTTGGAATTGTGACAGGATTGTTTGAACAGTTACTTAAAAAATAATGTTTTTTTAAATAATGTTTCGTTTTAGCAATATTTTGTAACTGTATTTTTAATAAAAGACTTGAGGGTCAAATTTACAGTCCTTTAAAAAAAACTTCTTAGTTTATTACTGAATTTTATTGAATTTTATTTTGAATATTTCAAACCAAATGTCTTTATTGTAAACCAACCTTTGTTTGATTAGCTTGACGTCGTCAATTTTTGGAAATAGCGTCTCGGAAAATATTCGCTGATGTTTGTTATATTGACCTTTTGCAATTTTGTCATCATATTTAATTCAAGAATATTGGCTTATTGAAATTTATCCAAACTCGGCACATCAATTAATTATGCCGGGCGCTTCAAAAACTTATGATTGATCCATAATGAAGTTTATTAAAATATCTGTAGAGGCGCTAAATTCTCCCTTCAAAGCAATTTGATACAATTTTTTATCCAATTCATTGAATTCAACTTACTTAGAGTCTCCTTTAGGATGGCAGCTTTGAAGTACTGCCGGTCTGGCTTTGTCGTCCAACGCTAAGTAAGTTTTGATTCCCGCCTTTCTGACCGTCACTTCCATGCTCAAGTAAAACAGCTTCGGGTCTCTATGTTTCATTTTGTATTTGCCGAGCAAAATGGCGACGATCTCTTTGCACGTCGTTTGGAACGTTATGCAGAGAGTTTTGTATTCGATGTCCGGCCTCAGACATTTGGCGTAAACTTTGATCGTCGTCTGAAAGGAAAGAAACAATGGCCATCGTTATTCGACAACGCGTGCCAATGAATCATTCGCAGAAAAATACTCGTTTGATATGGTTCCGGAATGTCGAACCCGCAATAGAAAAGTTTGCCTAACAATGAATTTTAATTTCGCTAAAGAATGTCACATGGGAATTTCTGCGAAATGAATTGCGGAATTCTGCTTCTGTTGTAGACCTTTTTTTGCTTCGTAATCCACGTGGTAATATTTCTTACGACATTTAGTACAAAAAATACTCGACATGGTATGTATACATCAAGGTTAAATCAAGTTTTGAGTTTGTTAATTTTGTCTCTCATTTCTATAATGTTACCTGCGATTTTCAAGTCGAACATTACATATATCTAAGTACATACAATCCTAAAGAGAAGCGTTCCTCTCAACCACATTTAAATATTTTTATTTTTATTTTGGACATGTTCCTATTTTTGTTGAAACCCGCCTTTCCTTCTGAAAGGTTTAAATTGTTCATCACCCTTAAATAGATCGAATCTAGACCGGATTTTGTTGTTCTTCAGTAGAAAATTTTTTTTACACTATTCTTACAGTCACTGTTGATCAAAGAATAACAATTGTTTTCAAATTGAAAAAAAAATTACAAACATTTTATTATATTCCATCTAATCTTATTTAGACCTTACTGTATAGCTTTCTGTACAGTTATATATTTCCAATGTTGGTAGTTTTGGAAATATGCAACTAAATATCATATAGAAAACCTATCAAGCGCCAAGGAAACTGTTGTCAAACAGATAATTTTTGCCGATAATCATGCCTGCACTCTCAAATTTGTTTTATAGTAGACGATTGTTCCGATTTTAACTAATGTTGTCAGTATAGCAGATTCAAAAAACTTGTTTCCAAAATAAAAAAATACGTTATTAAATTTTGACAATTGTTTTCGTATTGATCCGCATTAACATTCCCGTAAAAACATATTTATGTATATAAATAGGAATGTTTTAAAGATTTGGTATGATGTTATTGAAGTTAACATTAGTGTTAACGGTTGCTCCACTTCTTGAGTTTGGTTTTTTGTTAAAAAAAATAATAAGCTGGAGAAACTTTAGCTATAGGTATCACTTAACATGTTTATTGCTTTTTGAGTAGTGCGCTTATAAAAACCGTATCGAATAGGTTGCGTATAAATACGATTTTATACATCATACCGAAAAATTTTACGTCCGGACATCACATTTACATTTTAAAATTTGATTTCCGCGGTGTATCGTCGTTAAAGATTTCCAAGAAAATTTAAAACTTTCCTTGTAGACATTTTTGTCATCAATTCCACTTTCGAAACTCAAGTCGCTCTTAGTCCAAACCCGAATAATAATTTTTATAACACGCTCCGCTAACTCCGCAGTATGTGTTTTTGCCGTCGACCGTTGTTGCATCTTCGTTTGACCTTTCTTTAACGGCCTTGCGTTGGATAGGGAAAAACAATGTTTAAAGGAAGAAGTCAAGTGTGGTTCCCATCGGGCTCTTCTCATGGTATCGGATGGCATCTGGCAACCGCATTGGGTCGACCCTGTTCGTCACACCCGCTATTTCACCTGGGCTGCTGTAATATTGAAAAAAAGCGATTTCCAACCTAAATCTGACCCCTGTCCTAATTTAATGGAATCTCTGGCGGGTAATAAAGTTCCACATGAATTAAATTAGAGAATTAATGTAGAGAAGAAAATTAGTTTAGTGACAGTCACACAAGTAGACGGTAGTTGTATTTTTTACAAATTTTCCAGGCAGCGAATATATTTTTTTTAATGTTGTACAGGGTGTTCCATAACATTACTACCATAGCTTGGGAGTATGTTAAAAATGTCAAATGAACATATAAAGTCTGTTCATAGATATTAGAAGTGACTAACTGATACGAATTAAGGAAAGACCCGGGCAAGCTGTAAGAATGAAATATGGCGGAACAGGTCCGTACTTTGATTATAATTTAATTATTTGGGGTTTTGTTAAGAAAAATACTAAACAATATGCATTGATTTATGTATGTATTTATGTTTCAATCTAAAATAAAATTACAAATTATTTTTATTACCTACTTAAATTACTTAAAATTATTCACATGATATATCAGTATCGCTATCGCTATCATCGCCTGTTCTAAATATTATTTGTTCTATATTATTTGCAATATGGATATACGATTTTTCTGCTTTTTCTATAGGTTTAACAGAATTTGCCCAACTTTGTTTTCGATAAGTTTGAGGCGATTGGAATTAACACAGGGAAAAACATTGTTACGACGAATGGCAGATTTCAGTTGGTGCCAAACATGTTCAATGGGATTGAAAGTGGAAGTGGAAGCCTTAAAACTGCATGCCCTAGATTTTTTGCATAATTATCACAGACGTATTCCTTTTGTAGGTTCAAGCTTTGTAGAACCTCAATTAATTGCTTTTTTGCTATAATCTTCGTAAAAATAAATGTCGTTATTATACATGTAGTTTTGGAGTGTTGCTTTTGTGTCACATGTCACTGTCTACTGTGATAACTTGCATTGTCCATTACAATTACGCTATTAGGAGCAATGTTTGGAACTAGTTTGTTTTTAAACCAACTTTCAAATAAATCAGCGGTGGTGTCTTCATAGAGCCAGCATGCGAAATAGTTATTTTTTTACCTCTTTTTGAAGGCGCGTTCGTTTTACACTTATCTGTTGAGTCAACCCAACCCTTTTCCGGGGTATCATAAGTGTCGAACCAGGTTTCATCCAAGTAAATAATTGGCCTTTGTTGTTCTCTGTAAATCCAATTTTTTTAAATCTAAAACCCATGTGTTGAATGCACTTCCATAAGGTAGTTCTGCCACATTTAACAGCGGTTTCATCTTTTTCAATCCTCCTAATTAAGATATCTAATGTAGGCACGCTTTGTTCCTCGTATAACTGGTAAATTTTACGCCGTATTATATCTTGATCACTTTCGTCTACAAATTCACAATTTTCCATACAGTTGATGTTGGAATTTTCGTCAATGTTTCCGTTTCTTCTAAAGATGCTTGCCTGCTGGCACCACGTTCAACGAGAGTCAAATAAACATTGTTTATAACTTCCTTAGTCTCAATAGAATAGTGTTTTCTACATTTAGGCGGGAGCGTCTCCTGAGATACACTAGACTCGCACATATTTTGCATAATTCGCACACGATTCAACACACGCTGTATTACACACGAAATAAGAATGATTACTAATAAACTTAAACTAAGTAGTATACCAATCCAAAGAATATTAAACACAGGTAGGTATAAAATTATTTTCTATTACGAAGAACAATTTTACCTGAATTTAAATTCCGAAACTTTAGGTAATAATCTTGTTGCATTGTATGTTAATGACATCCCTTGGATAGTCCCATTGGAAAGCAATTGGTCACTTTCTTATATCTATGAACAGACGATGCCCTGAACGCTATTTGCATTTGAAATTTTAAAGACTATTTAAAAAGAAACCGCTTTATTTAATTGCTCCGGTATTACGTTCGGCTGTTAACATTATTATTAAAAAGTCCAGCTGGCTCTGAATTTTATGTATTGTGACAGTAAACGTCAAGATACAATGTTTACTTTTTCGAATGAAGAATACGTCGACATTTACTTTGTCTATGGATTGTCTAATGGACACGGACGAGGGGCAGTTGATGAATATGGTCGACGATTTGATACTCGTAGAATGCCTTGTAGAACTGTTTTTATCAATGTCCGTCGATGTTTAAGAGAAACGGGGAAGTTTCCTACAGCCAATACTTAAGACGATTGATGCTCAATTTGTTGGGAACGCGGGAATCCAATTTTCAAGATAGGTTATCTATGAACATTAGCATTATTGATAACCTCCTCCTTGGTCCGTTTATAATTGCCATTCGTTATTTACGTTTCATTGAAAACGATCATCCAATATTACTGGATGATGTTCCTTTTAATGTAAGACAACAAATGTGGATTCAACACGCTGGCACGCCGCGGTCGACAAGTAACAGAATTTCTTATTCAAAACAAACCGGTATATTGGAAGAGATTCAGCAGTTCCTTAGCCCTGTACTTAATCCGTTAGATTATTTTTTATGGGGAAGACTGAAAACTTATGTAGAAAGTATTGAAAACAGAGAACATCTGGAATTTGGAAGCTGAACTACCACTTCATTTCTAAGACGAGCTAGACTATGTATACAGCAACTGCGTGGACATTTTGAACAACTAATTCAATAACATAAAATATAAATAAATAAATAATTAAGGGTTTTCTTTTAAGTTTCAAATGCTTGCAGCTCAATCAGAATAACTTTCCTGGTATATATTCATTTGATATTTTTAACTTGAAGTCACCAATCACTCCCAAGGCACACCCTGTATATTAGCGACAAAAAGTAAAAAATAAACTACGCTATTTTCATTCTCAATTATTGTTTCTTTTACGGTTGGTATCCTAGTAATATTTTTTTAACCCAAATATTTAATTCATTAATTGATCTAAATGCGTTTTGCGAATTTTTCAGCAATGACGTTATTATAAGAATTTAAATAATTTCGTTTAATTCGAAGCAATCGGTCACACTTGAAATCAAGTCGTTTGCATAACACACCCGTTATGTGTTAAGCGTCTAGGTGAATCATTTGTCTCCACATTTACTGTGATGCATTAATTTTGAAATGAATCCTGTGTAAAGTCTAGTCAAGGTAACCCGTACGATTATTGGCTAACCGAATGAATATTAAATGCTAACATAATTTACAAATAGGAATGATATATGTAGAAATAAACGACAAACCAAGAAACTCTCTTACACATTTTTCTGTGTCTCGTCTGAAAAATCTATCTCATTGTGGTCTGTCGAGAAGAAAAGATTTTTGTTATTAATTGACGGTTAGCAATGATTGTTAACTTAAATACTAAAAAAGTAGTAGTATAGTATTACAGTACAAATAACACCGACTTTTAAAAGCTTTCAGAATAAAAAATG